GGCAAGTCCATAATTTCCATAGCTTGTGTTTCTGACAGATTTTTTAAAGTGTGTGTGTGTGTGTGTGTGTGTGTGTGTTCAGCCTGTGTTGTTGCGTATTTAGCTTGGACTTTTCTGTTCTGACGGAAGTGCTTGCTGCTATGCTTGCTATTGGCACTTTGCACTTCTTGGTTCCTAACAGCTTGTGCCAACCCAACTTCTGCACAGTGCCTTTTGGCTAGTGTGAGTAGATGAGTTTTATTCATGTTTTTCTTGCAGGCTGCCTTCCAGTTTAGTCTTTTTGTTTTGTTTTTCCTCCTCCTCCTCCTTTTAAAATTTAAAAGCTAAGCCTTTGGCCTGAATTATACCTAGTTCTAACAAAAAAAAATGCGATCTACAGTGGCACAAAAAACATATTTCATCAGCTTGTAACTAAGTGGTGGCAACTTGTTTCTAGGAGAAACTACTTTTCTGACATTTCAACAGAGTCCACTAACAGGCAATTCATTTCTGGAAAAGTTCCACAAAGCAGCACTGAAGGGAAAGCAGTGGGTGGAGACAGTGGTTGGTGGGGAGAGGGAAACACACTCTTCTTTATTTTTCAGTGTTTTAATTGAATTTTGATAATAAACAAAAGCAATAATTCAACAGTAGATACCTGCAGTTTCAGTATGTCTGCAGTGATACAGTCTGTACCAGGCACTAGCAGTAATTTATATTGTGAGCCAATCCAACCAAGCAGACCTTGGAAAGGCTGAGGGTTGCAGCACAATGCCATTGCGGTTAACATATGCAGCAGAAGGAAGCCGTATTTCAGAAGATTTACCCCCTTGTACTTCACCTCTAGCCAACCTACAGCTCCAAGTTAGCTTCTCTGCTGACTTCTTAAAATGTTCAAAAGACTTTAGAGAAATTGCCATTTGAAGCTGTCTTCATCCTTCAGCGTTAATAGTCCTTATCATCCTTTTCAGCCTACTGACTTAGTAAAATGTAATGATGTCTCCATTGCAATAGGCCTACTCCTTCAATAGATTCCACTGAGGGAGCTGTTCTGCCACATATGAAAGCCTGACCCAGAATCCAGTTGCCTGACTTGACTTCACCTGGGACTGTTTCAGAAAGCTCTGCATTTCTTGTTTCCCTTGGGTAACTAAAATTCATGCATGAGGTTCTAGCGGGAACCAAAGGGCATGAGCCACAGGAATTTCACCCTTTGAGGTAGAGCCTGTGGCCACCAAGATCGGCAGGTGCAATAAGGGCAGAAAAACTACATAACTGACCTATTCGTTAATGCTGCTCATTGTGAAACCTGAAGCTGTAAAAGGGTCTTCCTTGGCCCTGGTTTGTACATAGTTTTTTAGGGCTTCTGTTTTAGTTAATATAACTTTAAGAGGGGCTTTGTGATTTTGCTTTTAGTTATTTTTAAGGTGCAGTGAGTTACCTTATAAATAGTAAGACCAGACACCCAAGTAGCTCTGGACTTTGTCCCTCTGTGTCTAAATCTAAACAGCAGAACTGATTATTTTCAGATTTCTCCAACTCTCCCTTTTGAGATTAACATTCCTGTTCATAATGGTTCTGCTGCCTTTGATTCTGATGCGACAGGGCTGATAGTGGTCTCAAATCAAGTTTAACTCTTTATTTTTATTTCTTAAAAAGTCTGCTTAAAAAACCACACACAACTCAACACAATAGAGTTTTGACATACAGGCTTCTGTAAACAGATTCTTATGTGCCATCAGCAAACATATGGTGTCTGGTCTGGCAGCAGTGATCCCCCTGTTCTGGGAAGAGGAGGTCCAGCTTCTGCCCTCGCAGCAGGTGATTGGAACTGTCAGAACTGATTGACAGATGGTCAGAGCAATGGCTGCAGTTAAAGATCCAATCCAGCAATGATAAATGGACAACTCTCCAGGATATGTTGATAGTGCATGCATTTCCTGTCAAGAAAGTAGCCATAGAGACCCTGCTTCTCTGGACAAATAACTTCTTTCATTTTTCTTTATGCAAACGTCTCATAGTCACAGTAGCTAATGAATTTTGCTATTTTCTCAACAATATATTACAGCTTATGTGTTTAAGTGCTTGGTTTCCTGTAACTGTACTAAGATCTCACTAAGTCTTTACACTTTTCTCTTTTTTTGCAGAAAAGTAATTTAATCTTTTATTTCTTTTGAAATTTACTAGTCAGACCAATCAATCTTCCTGGAAGCATTACACTGGCATTTTTTTCCTAAGCAAGACTGAACGTCGTACTGTTAGCACACTCAATATCATTCATTTTTATGCTTCTAGGGTTTTTTTAAGTCTGGTAATTTCCCAAGGCTTTGAAAATATGGTGTAACCTAATGTGTCTTTTCTTTGGTTATATGCCTCCTTGCCCCCCCGCCGCGAAGCGTGCTTAAACATGTGACTGGAGATAATCCAGAGGGCACTTTTTTGGATGTCTCCCGTGGGAAATATGAAAGTGTCCTTTTGAACAGTAGCTCCTCTTCCATGCCAGATCACAAACCCTTGGTATGCTTCCGTCCAACAGACATAAAGTCTCCAAATGATACGTGGACTTAATATTGTTTGCATTTCTATATCACTTTATATTTTTATGAAAAAAATCTTAAAGCAGCTTACAACACATTAAAACATCAAATAAAACTATCCAGAATAAAACATTACTGAAGAATGTCAACTATAAAGTAGTAGTAGCAGCAATAGTTATAATAATACTTTTATTAGTTGTACCCTGCCCATCTGACTGGGTTTCCTCAGCCACTCTTGGTGGTTTCCAACAAATATAAAAGCATAATGAAACACCAAACATTAAAAACTTTCCTATACAAGGCTTCCTTCAGATATCTTCCACAAGTTGTGCAGTTATTTATCTCCTTGATATCTGATGGGAGGGCGTTCCACAGGGTGGAACACACAAAGTACACATTCAAAGCAACATAATTAAAAGGAAACTAAAATATTATTTTAGTGGCGCTGTGGTCTAAACCACAGAGCCCTAGGGCTTGCCGATCAGAAGGTCGGCTGTTCGAATCCCTATGATGGGGTGAGCTCCCGTTGCTCGGACTCAGCTCCTGCCCACCTAGCAGTTCGAAAGCACTTCAAGTGCAAGTAGATAAATAGATACCACTCCGGCGGGAAGGTAAATGGCATTTCCGTGCGCTGCTCTGGTTTACCAGAAGCGGCTTAGTCATGTTGGCCACATGACCCAGAAGCTGTCTGCGGCCAAATGCCGGCTCCCTCGACCTATAGAGCGAGATGAGCTCCACAACCCCAGAGTTGTCTGTGACTGGACCTAATGGTCAGGGGTACCTTTACCTTTACCTAAAATATTATTTTAAAGGTTTCAAAAAAAAAATGTTACAAAGGAAGCCAACTACAGAAGGTACGTTTATTGCATCAAAGTTAACAAAAAAAAATGCTGTAAACATTTCAAAAGAAATCGTTACTAAAGGAAGTCAAATATAAAATGCACACTTGAAACAGCATAATAAGCAAGAGAATACAATGTTATCATAAGCATAGAACATGTCCGCTGCTGTTGCTGCCAATCCTGCCAATGGTGGCTCAAGGTAGGTAGCAATAGTGGTAGTTCAGGCATGAAGATCTGGGTCTGCGCTAAGATACAGCCAAGATGGTCTCTGGTCTCTTCAGCAGCTTCAGCTTTTGTAGCTGGAGTCAGTCTGGGCCCTGCCCTCTCAGTCCAGGTGAGCAAAGGCCTGCAATACAGGGAGCAGGGCTTCCAGGACTCACAGTCAAGATGGTCTTACACCTGGGAATGTAAACATGCACCATTTTCTGTTCCACCCTCTATTCGTCGCATGCTGTGCTCTTTCTGTTCTGCTGCAGTTTGTCTTCTGCCAACCCCCCCTACATTATTCATCACACTGTCTGCTGTGATGAAATGATGTAACATAAATAATTATGTAAATTGCATAAGTGGCTCTGTCATTATGATAGTCCACCCCATTCGTTTCAATCCAAAGAAAACAGAGCGCAAATGGAGAGGAGTGTAATCAGTTACTTATTGTTTGTTAAACAGCAAATCCTGATTGTGTTGGCTAGATAGGTTTCCGTTCTGGACATGGGGCAAATAAGCAAATACTGGCAATTCTGCTCCTGTGTCTGTTTTCATCCGAATTCTCCTGCATCTCTACTTACAGCTTGATGTTATCTGTGCATATTTGTTGGGAAGCAAGTTGCAGTTTTCCACGAAGGCTTCCTTCCAGCTTTGTGGCATTGTGCTGAGCCCTTAGTTCCACACCTTGAGCTCTGCCTGAGGAAATCCAGTGTTACTGAATCAGGGCTGTGGTTCCTTTTCCCACATCAGAACCGCATGGTTCTCCCATGCTTTATTGAATTCACAACATTTGTAGGTTTATAAATTTATAATCCTGCAATGTTACAAATTTATAGATGGCATTTCATGGGTAGCCTCCAAATGCAAACATTTTAATGTATTGAATCGCTGTGAAACAGAACTGCTGAGAGATGTTGTAGAAGGTCTTTTCTCCAGGAATGGTATCCTCTATGCAACCACAATTTCAATCCTCCTTTCTCTTCTCTCTCTCTCTCTCTCTCTCTCTCTCTCGCTCTCGCTCTCTCTTTACTATGACCATGCGAGAACACTTTTAAAAAGTGAGCCACACATTTGCTTCATGTTTGCATAATTAGATCTATGCTTTGCCTCTCTGCCTCAAAGGAATTGCAGTAGTGGGTTGAAAAAGTAAAGTTGTCGAGAAAGGAATTTTTTAAAATGCAGAAAGTGTGTGTAATTTAACATGACCCAAATCTAATGTTCAAAAGTTGTAAGCCCTTTCTATTTTTTTTTTAAAGTGTATGTGTCAAAAGATTCAGGAAAATATTCTTATGATTGTTTTCATTATAATTTTATTACTTTCAGGGCAGCATGTTTGCAAATTAATGTCACTACATGAAAAACTCATTTAAGGTCATGAGAAAAAGTCTGATTGAAATAAGACTTTGTATTGGGATAACTGGGTCAGTTACTCATTGAAATAGCTCAGTTGGTAGAGCATGAGGCTCTTAATCTCAGGGTCTTGGGTTCAATACCGAAGTTGGGCAAAAGATTCTTACTTTGCAGGGGGCTGGACCAGATGACCCTCGTGGTCCCTTCTAACAATTCTGTGATTCTGTGCAGAATGAGCAATGTTTGACTAGTGAATCTTGCTTAGAGAATAGACTTTACCTGTTATGATCACACACAGTGATATGCTTATAGGTAAGAAAATAATAAAGTTGTTTAGTGAGGAAATGCATAACTTGGATAGAAAACTTTTTAGTTTGTACCCAAACTTCCAACAATTGGCAAGTGCCATTGGGAGAAATCCTATTCTCGCAACCCACCTGGCTTTCCAGTGTCCCTGTTAACAATGCTCTAGCCTTTATTTATCACTCAGTCTAATTTGAAGTATGCAGGGCTTGTAGGTGTCTATATTTCTTGAATTGTTGGATTATAGATTTTAAATGTTAGGTATTCATCATTCATCTAGTAGTAGACAACGGTCCTGAGGCTGCAGAACATATACCTAAAGCACACCTGATGGATGCCTTTACTCTTCATTGGCTTTTGTTTGAATAGCTCCAAGGAAGATTCCTAAACTAATCTGGACAGACTGTTCCACTGATGAACTGCTCCTGTACTGCAGAAACAATAATGTAACCTGCCTTGGATAGAAATAAGGACAGGCAACTGAGAAGCCTTGAACTGGGCCTTGGAACAAAATTTGAATGACTTACTCTTGCAGTCCTCCGCATAAGAGCAAGACGCATGTGGTCCTCCGGATATAGCTGTATTTATCCTCTTTTCATCCGACCGCAGCACCACTCCTTTGCAGCTACTGTTTCGATTGGTAAACCATTGATTAAAAACCAACTGATTCTGTTGCCTGCCTGGAACCACAAGTGGGATTATCAAGCACCAGAGGCACCGACTTGTGCCCAAGATTGAGGGAGCCTGGTGCGCATTGCGCACATGCATCATCATGCCTGCAACGTTGGGAGGAGTCCAAGTGTGGAGCCCAGTGTGGCATGGCATGGCTTCAATGGCCGGTGGCTCCTCCAGCTCAGTCATCCTATTCATTGAGCTTCCTTTTGCACATGTAAGCTCAACTTCATAGCGATCGGAAATGATGTTCTAAAATACAAGGTTTCAATGAACTTTTTTCTCTTGCTCATCAGTGTTTCATTTCTAAATTGAGAGGTGCTGGAGGAGGTCCGTCATTCCTCATAGTAGTGAGCACAGGTAGACCTGTACCGATTGGTTAGGATGGTCATCACAAAAAAGATGGAGGTTGCTCTATACCCAGTGGGAATTCCAAGCAATAGTGACAGCTGACTACCCCCTGCCCTGTCCCGGAGCAAATCTACCATCGTCACCCCTAGGGGAGAGAGGGCTTTACATTGATGCTTTGACTGTTTTGCCAGGAACACCTCTGCTTGCTTCTTCTGTTTACTTGAGGATGGACAGGATAGTGTCTACCCATAGTCAAACAACAGTTCCAGATTGATTTCCATGGACAGCACTCACATTTGCTTTAGAAAAAATCTGAACATGGCTTCCAGTGTAAATCTGGAAAATGCCCATCTAGACAAAGGAGGTAATTCATGCTGGACGTTTTCTATTTTTTGGTTTATCTCTTTGCAACCAGTTAAAATGATTGCCTTAACCACAGTCTTTATATAGTGCACATTTATCAACCTTACTAAAATATTGCTGTATATTAACCATTTACAAAGTTGGAGATTGGAGCTGATTAATTTAACGTCCGTCTCAGTTCCAAAATGTGGGTTTGTGGTTAACACCGTGGTGGAGGAGCAAATCCCATGCACTGTGCTTGCATTATGACAAATACACAAGCTCTTTCTCATGCTCTCCTTGTGCAGATTCTGCTTAGGGAAAAAAAATGCATTTCTCCAATGATAAACGCCACAGCCCTGTAGCTTTGGATTAATGCACTTCTCTGTTTCCAAAACACAAAACATTTACAATATTGAGCAGGTCTGACCTGAACAAATTTGGCGTAAAGATAGTGATTTGAAGAGGGATCATTTTTTATCTCCGTGTGTAGAAGAATATGTCGAAAAGCCAATCAGTTCTGTCATGGACCGGGATGGTGGTTAAGAAATGGAAAACATCTCTGCTAGCAGGTACAACTCTTCATTCTTGACAACTGGCTGGTGCAGTATTCTTGCATCTTGATTTATCGAAACAGATGGTCTATAAAGTTGATTTCTGGACAGTGTCCGCCATTCGTTCATGTATTCCTTCAGAATGAAATGTGTCAAGAGACTAAGATCCAGGGGGACGTGGGACTCCCAAATGCCCACATGACCTCTGCTTCAGTTTAATCAGGAGCCTGGTGAGCCACCATCAAAACTCCAGAGTTGTAGGATTATAGGCAGCCTTCCTCAAACTGGTGTCCTACACTTGTTGCTGGACTGTAACTCCCATCAGCTGCAGCCAGCACAACCGATGCCCAGGGATGCTGGGAGTTGCAGTTCCAGCTTAGAGAAGACTGGATGAGACAGGTGTTGTCTGGATCTTACCTTTCCTTCCCATGGAGGTTATTTGGATAATGCATATTTTAAAGCTGATCCTGCTCTGCCTTTACACCTTAAGCTGCATCCCCATCACCCCTGAAACCCAGTATGATAGGTGTGTGTAAGCTCATTTCTGGTAGTGAAATGTCTTGGTTCCAGCTGTACACTTTGAAAAATGACTTTTCTTAAATCATCTGGCCCCTCTTTTTCACCACTTTTGTGTGAAAGTGTGTGAGAACGTGGTTTTCACAAAGACCTCTGAGTACTCTGTCAACTTCAAGCACGCTGTGAGGCTTGCTTAGCAGATTTCTTTGACTCCTCACTTAATCGCAGTGTTCAAAATTAGCCGGGCGCAACTTTGCACCTGACTATTGGCCACCTGCAATCAAGTGAAGATGCCTGGGCGCCAGGATGGTGCCTAACATCGCCACCATCTGAAGGTACATGCCTGGGGAATCATTGGACCTTGCCTGTTTTTACACACTTAATACCACATCCTGCAGACTTCAAGCAGTTATATTTTATCTGCACATTTGAATTTCAGGAACTAAGATGCTTTTTCTGTGCAGCCTGAGCAGGAGCAGCGAATAATGTTATAGTTTATTGTTGTCCCTTGTCCTGCTCACAGTTGAGAAGAATTATCCCTACGTTATGAATGGTTCGTGTCACCATTCAGAAAGAGAGGTAGAATTAGGCCAATATATATGTTTGTGGACTGTCCCTGGATCAAGTGACTTTTCGTCTTTGAGTTCTCAGAGTTCTTAACCTAGCTCAAGGTTGTCATCTGAACTAGCCAGATGCTTAACTGATAATCAGTCAGTGCATCATTTGAAAAATAAAGACTTTAGAGCCGTCTTTCCCCCAAATGGCAACTAGACTTTCCGTATTGGCAGCTGTAACCTTGGTTTAAGAAGCCATTTGGCACCTAGCTTATATATGTGAGTTTCAACGCTTCTTGGCAGCTGTACTTTTTAAGGGCTATAACCCTTATCCAGCCCTGTCTGCTTCCCTTTCCTTTGACTACACTCAAGTTCCCTCAGTAGGCTTCCATGGGTTAGCCAAGCAGTCATCCAAGGCTCCAATAGGCCAGTTGACCGTGTCACTGAGTCACATGATAATCTGGTAAATCAGCTATCATGTGCCTTGGGTTGTTGGGTTAAAGTTTCAAAAATAGCGAATAGTTTTGCTGGTCTGCTTATATACATATGCACACAACGTGTGTGAACTCCTGCCTTAACATGTGTGGTAATGGAACTGTGAAGACAGTTCTGTACTGCAGAGATTATCGCAGTGAACACCAATACTCTGTCTCCGTTTCTTTGATTAGTAGGGGAAATTTAGCAAAGAAACACACAATTATTATGATTAAAGCATTTATGTGCACAACATGGAAAACAGCAAGTAAAACAGCACTGAGGCATTTACTGAATTCATATCCTGCCCTTCCTGCCACAGGAGCCCAAGGCAGCAAACAGATCCACAATTAAAAGCAAAAACATTCCAAAACAATTGAAACATTCTAAGAACAATTACAGTTGAAAACATCTAAAAGCAGTTACAGTTAAAAACATTGTTCTATTTAGTCACCCCGGGCTTGTCAGTACAGAGAAAAGTGGGTGGTTAGTTACAGCTTAAATAAGGTGTATATATAGTGTGGAATGATAGTATATTAGTGGAGTTATCATTTTACTTCTCCACTTCTCTACTTTACTGTGGCCCTTTCTTGCTAGGGTAGCATTGAAAACCAGGTTTCTGCTAGGGCTGTGCACCAGATTAATACACTACTCATAGAATGGTAGAGTTCGAAGGGACCCTGAGGATCATCTAGTCCAACCCCTTGCAATGCAGAATATGCAGCTGCCCCACATGGGGATTGAACCTGCAACCTTGCCATTATCAGCACCACTCTAAACAACTGAACTATGTATTGTGGGCCCACCTGCTTATTTTGCTAAATGGGACATTGTTTGTTTATATGCCACTTTGCTCAAAATTGTGTCCAAAGTGGCTCACAACATGTAAAACGGGCAACAATAAATATAAACATTGAGAAATGTTAGAAACAATTAGCTATAAGCATATCGATAAATACAAAAAATTATATTTGTATGAAAGTGATACAAATACGCTAATCTATTGCAACAGTTTAAACTAAACATTGTATAAAGTAACCTAATTAAATAGCTTCAACTGAACAGGAAAGAGAGTAACGCGAAGACGAAAATAGAACATTTCCATGTTTCAGACAATGCAACAGATTAGACTGATTTGGAGGGCTCCGAATGTGAGTTGTGTTGGGTTGAGATACCCTTGGCTGGGTTGCAGGGTTCATATTAATTCAGGGCTGTCTGAGGGTGATGTGTAGATCGGAAGAAGGAGATGCAATCATCTTCATGGTAGAAGTTGAGGGTGGGTGGCTGCTTTCCCACCTGAGCTTTTCTTCTTCCTGCCAGGCTTCTCCTCCTCCTCACCTCTGAAGCAGCACTTTGCAGGATTCAGTGCTCTTGCTTAACAGCTGGTCA